TAACATCTGCAAATGGTTAGACTTTCTAGTCTTCTCGGATAAGGACGATAAACCGTAGGCCCCGTCTCACAAGCCCTTGCACATGTAATAAATCTGTGGGACGTTAACGAACCAACACACTCTTCGTAAAGAGTAGGGCACGTAGTGCCCGGTGTAGTGGTCTATCTCACTTTCACACTCATGTATGGGGGCATCATCACTCATTCCTACTGTACTTGTAAACTGCACCTTAAGCGGTCTGGCAAAGTCCCCCAACCAGTGTTGTAAATTATCCCTGAAAAGCCCTGTGGGGAGTGGATAATAAGATATTTACAATTACAATTTACAATTCGATAAATTTGAATTTCAGTCCTCCCGGTAAAATCTAAGATGGTGGCCCAGGTCTCGGTCTCTCCACAGTTTTGCCATAACCCATAATGTTTACCTTATACTTCACAGTACATCATGCACAGTACGTCTATGTACGTCTATGCATGTTCGTATTTCCGAAGGTTAATTTAATTTAGAACAGGGAAGGTAATTTTTGACGTCTCTATATTACGCATATATTGAAAAAAATTACCTTCCCCTTGGAAGGAAAACGTTAAAGTTTTTAAAAACTATCGACACATTTTTTAGTTCTAAGCTTATTTTCTCTGATTTTCTTACCTCTGAACAGGTCAGCCTGGCCAGTGTTTAAACAAAAAAGCGCACAGATCTGCCTCTGGGGGTAGTGGTGCAGGTGGTAGCGTGGTGATCATTACTAAGAAACTTAACGGAAATCCCAGGGATAAAATATCCATCTCTGGGAAGAGCCCTGTGAAATGCGCTTTTGGTACAGGCGGAGGTAAGCCCCATGGTTAGCTCATCGACTTCACCTAGGGCATAAGCGGGTTTTTGATTGCAATAACTCGGGTTCACGACCTGACAGTGACTTTTATATTGGTAATACCATAGTTAAAAAAGCGGAATGGCTACAAAACCTGGGAAATGTCTTTGTTCGATGTTTTTGTTAAAAGACAAAATGAAATGAGATACTGAGGCTGATGTTCAGTAAAGAACTTTAGTGTCTACTGTGGCTTTACATCCCGATCTTTGAGCGACAGGCATTAAGCACTGTATATTAAGTTATATATAACTATTACGGTTACAAGTGAGTTCGGTAGTTTGCAAGCTTTAAAGGTCTTTTGTTTATCGATTACATGGCCAATAAAATAGGGAACAGTGAAACTTATTATAATGAGGTAAAAACAAATTTGAAAAAGTTGTGGATACATGTAAGCACATGTACAATCCTATACTCTATATTTTATTACAATGAATGTGCTCTTCCACGCGTGGGCGCTAGTCTTCAGGATTTATTCGTAAAGTTGTCAATGAAATGGCCTGCAAATTTTTCACTAGGAAAATAAAACCAGCTCCACTCTATTAGCCCGAGCCATTCAGAACATTTCAATGAGCGCACAGATGTCCGAGCTTATGTATTGGTCAAATCGAAGCTTCAACATCACCCCCCCGAGCAACCCCCCGGGCATTTGATTTTTTTGAAAATTATTGTTCAAATTCCCCCCTACCCTGGCCAAAATGCCGTTCAAATGCCCCACACTAGGGTCCATTTAGGTGATCAAATGCCCCCACCCCAGGGACATTTCACAGGCACAAAAATGACAGAACGACGGCAGAAACGCCTTCAGTTGTCGAACAAAATCTTTACAAATATAACAAAAACAAAGAAACATTGTTAGCGTATTTACTACGAACAAAAGTCTCGTGCAAAGCCGCGGAAATCGCTGCTACAAGGTCACTGAATGCTCAGAAGAGAGGAGACGACCGGAAATGCGTCTTGCGCTTCGCAGGCTACATACAAAGCGACGCACGCGTTCTATAAAAAAAGATCCCATCTATTGAGATTACTACATCATGACCATTTCACTGACATGCATCATCGCTCACCTTATTAATTAACATTCTTGCAGTAGGTCAAAGTAGTTGACCTGAGTTTTTTATTTTATTTTTTATGTTGTTGTATTGAATCGCCGGTATAGGTATTGTATTTCATTGTAAACACAACAATAAAATACATTCATACATTCAATTAAAGCCTGAAACCAATATTAAAATTTTAAAATTTAAATACTTCAAATACGACACAAAGCTTGTTAAAGCCCTTTCCTCGTAACCAATTGGCCACAAAGGCCCAATCTTTTCCAGGAAAATCCTCTAACACCGTATCCCCATGATAGCTCGCCACGCCAAAGATTTTACATGAAATCGAGGGTGCAGTTCAAATTCCCCTCCCCTAAAACATGGGGATCAAATTCCCCACCCCCTGGAAGACTCTGATAATCAAATTCCCTCCTCCCCGGGACGGCAAAGGTGTCAAATGCCCGGGGTATGCCGGGGGGGGGGCATGTTGAAGCTTCGATTTGACCGATACATTATCTAAATGAATAATGAAATTAACGTGCGCACGCTTTGCACGGGAGTTTACGACGAGCGAGCCAATGACGAAAGCCGGAAGCGATCTCACGTTGTTTGTCAGACACGTCCGCTAACCAGATAACGCGTCGGGTAGAATTCTCTATTTGTAGGAGCGCATGAACGCCCGAAGATGCAAAATTAGTTTTTTCGTGTAAAACGTTATGGGTAGGAGAGAATAGGAAAATAGAAAGAGGAAGGCTGCAGCTAAATCTTCCCAGTCTCTCGATACATGGGTCAGTAAAGTACCCCGTCAAGAGCCATCAGACGCTGACAATAACAGTGCAGTCTGCGATGACAGCCCAGCTGAAACCACGACTGCAGATCTTTCTCAGTTGACTACAGTTTTACAGCGAGATATAGAAGGTAAATCATACTTATTTTCGCAATGTCCACCAGTCTTGATCCCATTATTATGCTCTGAGGTTTAGTGGCTGTTCCTCGATATGAAACAAACTCGCTTAATAAAAAGCCAGTGAGGGAACACAGAGTAACAATTCGGAAAGGGACTGGTAGGGTTAATCTAAAGCAGCAATCCACAGGCATCCCAAACCATCAAAATAGAAGTTTTCGAGATACAAAGAGGGAAAATACATTTTATGTTTCTCTTGGTCTCTTATCGTCATTTCCTGATGTCATGACAATATTCGACAAATGTAATATTCAGTTCCTACCGTGTATACTTTGCCGTTACAATTTCTCATGTATTGCTACTTTCCTAAATAAACGGATCAGACAATAAAAAATAGATTTCGGTAGTTTGGTCCACTTTGGCCTCGTTAGCACCCCCCCACATAAAATCCTGGTTACGGGCCTGGTCAGTCACTCCGCAGACGTTCATCGTATATTGCAAATTATACCATCATTTACGTCACGTAAGAGACAGAACTCAAGAAAATTAAGAAAAAAAGCACGGTGAGGCGAAGACGAAATGTCACTGGCTTTTCATTCACATTGAAACTGCCAAGTAACAGGCAATTATTTTGAAGACACTCTACTTCTCTACGTTTCTCGGAACCTCATTCAATAATTGTTAAATAAATATAAGAGTTTTTACATGCGTCACTTCTATTCGGAAATCCCTGTTGTTTGGCTTCACTCTCTAGGAATTTTGAAATGAAACGTCTTCACACAGTTCTCCAAGGCCTGTTTGTCCCCGGAAAAATAAGCACTTGTAGCATTTTGGAAAAGCAGTAATTGCTTTTGCATCACCTTAACTTTGTTTTCCTCTAAAAATCCAAGCTTAATCGTTAAGGTAGTACGAAGCTTGTCAAATTTCTCTTTATGGATATCATGCTGATGTTTGGCTAGTGGCAGAGACTCCAAGTGTGTTAAATAAGCATCATATTCTAATCTAGCGGACTCGTATGCTTTCACTGTAACAATAGAATCTTCCATGTTTGTGTGCACAAGAGTGGTCAGGTTGGATATGAAGAAACTAAGCGCTCCTAGAAGAATTTCACCATTCATTATCAGCGATCTTTGAGTCTCAACGCTGTTGTTGAGTCCATATTGTAACTCAACCGACTCAGGTGATTTCATTTCTACGTCTGCAAATGCAGCGGCTAAATCGCGCTGACTGTTAGTCATTCTCTGGAAATGTTGCATCATCTGCTTTGCAAGCTTGAGGAGCTCTGTGTACTTGATCTGAGAAAAAAAACCGTAATTCTTGGGCGTAATGAACTCAGTTTTCGGGACCAAGATGTTCCTCGTTCTCGGGAGCAACAGTACTCCAATATCTCTCTCTTTTTTCCTTGAAGGAAGACATTGGACATTGACATGAATGATTCTCGCCCGAAAAAAAAAACATGGGATCAGATTTCTTTCAATAGACCGCTGGCCAGAAGCGTCGACTCGTGACCCCACAACGATCAGATCACGCTGGGGCCAAAACGGTGCGGCGGTTCGGGGATTTTTTTCTTTTTAAGTCACCATCGCTTGTGAAAAAATAACATTGCTGTAACATTGTTTCACTAAGTGCTTTCTGGCCGAGAAAAAGTTGTGCATTCGTTTAGATTCCGCCGCAGTTTAGACAAATGACGTCATTGGCCGCTGTCACGCGACGACATTTTCCAGATTCAAGTTTCGTCAGCGGATGGTAATTTCGAGTTCTTTTCTTTTTCTGTCTATTTTTCATCTTCCTTTCTCTTTTAATTCTACTTCCTTCTACTCAGGATGGTCTCTGAGCGCCTAGCAAGGATTAAAGTGGCGTTTACCACGCTATCCACGGCCGTATTGGCAACAGAGAAGTGTTTCGCCGAAGTAGCAAGATAACGGTAAACACTGCAACTTTGAACGCTTTGTACAACGTCAATATACTTTGGCCGAAAAATGTTTTTCCAGAATCGTAATGTATATCCCTCCAATGTCTGATTCATCACTGTGATTGCTTTCAACAGCGTTGGACTTTTGAGAAATAATTATTTTAAAATCAGCTCCAACGCTCCATCTAATTTAATTATGCAATATTTGAAAATTTATTTTTTATTCCCTTCGGCAGTTTTTCGATGTTTATCGAATGATATTGCATTAAAAGGCCTTTTTCTACATCACTGTGTGGTTTTCTCGTTGTTTTGCGCCGCGATAGTGATTTCTGAACCGTTTTTTGCGAGGGCTTATTTTAGGCCTGATTTTGCTGCTATCAGACGGAAAAAGTTTGCGGCTCCATATTTTTGGTTTAAAGCGAAACTGAAACAAAAGAAATTCATTTTTGAATAGTATTCGGTAACCTTTACTTGGGAGATAAAAATCGGCCGATTTTATTTTTTAGCCGGAAATCATCGGTCGCCGTTCTCTCTTAAATTCTCCCTGGATGGTAAGGAATGGACCTAAAGCCCCCCGGGGGGGGGGG